GAAAAAGACTAAAAAAAAAAATTTAATTACAAACAAGCAAAAAAATAAAACTGAAAAAAAAGTAAAATAAATAAAATTTTATTAACACCACTGGTGTTAACACCAGTAGTGTAATTAATAAGCGATTATTATTCAATTATTTATTATAATCACATGATTTTCTGATCTACTTTCCGATACTGGTGTTGAATACCAGTGGTGTAATTTAGTAAAACCATAAAAACAAATATAAAAAAATGTTTATAAAAAAAAAATGAAAAGCAATATATAAAAACAAATAAAAAATAATAAAAAACAATATATAAAAACAAATAAAAACAAATAAAATTTTTATTCTGCTTCATGATGACCAGTATTGTCAGAAGGAGGTGATAAAGGTGGAATATTTGAAGATGTCGAGGGTGTAGACAGAATATTTGAAAATGTAAAAGGTATAGACAGAATAATTGAAGATGTAGAAAGAGTAAGCAAAATATTTTGGGTAGTTGTGAGAGGTTATGAATCTTCAGGAATAAAATTAGAATAATGTGAATTGTGAGAAGAGTTAGGAGTAGAAACCTTAACTGGGGCAACTTTCAAACGTTTGCCTTTTTTATCAGAGCATGCTGGATAAACAGCTCTTTTTTTTTTTTGACCTCAGCTACTTGATGCTACTACAGGTTGTTTGTCTTTGGTAAGAGATTCTTTATCATCAGTAGCTAAGGGTAGAAGTTATTACTAACTATTAGCTTATCCTAATTAAAATTAAATATTATAGAGTTAATTAAACATCTTTATATTTGAGCAAATTTATTTGTAGCAGGGGGCTTTAAATATTATATGTTGCCCTTAATATAAATTGCATTACACAGTATATATGTCGATCATACTATCATGTTTAATACTACTAAATTATGTATATATAAATAGTTACAATAACTGTGTAACTTATTTGTGTAGATCATCTATATCATATATCACATACATAGTATACATATCTAAATTACTTGTATCATCATAACACTGCAATATAGTAAAAATAGTCGTAAAGAAAAAATTCTTTCAAAATAGCCACTTTCCTTATAAACTCACCTAACCCTAATTAGGTCTGTTAACTATATATACAATTATCTTTGTCTGAATCTGTACTACTGAATACTTTTTCACAACAGGTTCACTAGAAATGTTACCTAGAATATCCCAATCTACATAATAAATAATATCATATTAAGTATTTATTATCTTGCTACATTTAGTGATACTATTTATCACATTGTTTTTGGACGTCTCAAATAGTTCTAGTTTCTATCTAGCTTTAACCAAAATTAAAGCAATATAGTATGGATAACCGAAATGTACAATATTGGTATAGGAAGGTATTACGAATATAGTATAGGAGTGTAAAATACCCATATCAAAATGTGTACCATGCTTTAGTATTATATATATATTAGGGCTTGGGTTATGAATTATAGCAAGATTTTACACCCATACAAGACCAATCAGGTTACTATACTATATGACATTCTGTAATCCCGTAATCACGCTTTAACTTAAAAACTTAGCATTAGTGAATATACTTATGTACAACTGGTTCTAGAAATAATCAATTTGTAAAAAAATTGCTTCACAGAACATGACTAATTTAATTACATCAAATAAAAAACAAGAATTATTTAACAACACTAATAATGCATCAGTTGGTATTTGACTTTATTCTTCATGCTATTTATACTAAGTATTTACATTTAAGTACTATACTTAATAAAAGACATGCATCTTAATCATTATATTGGTTGTGTTAATTTTTCTAATTGGAACACTTAGAAGCATAATGTCCTAGTTTATGACACAACCGACATCTACATATACCTGATACTTCAATTTCTTTCTCTTTGTTATCACTATTTGCGTGTTTTATATTGCTTTACTATTTTCTTCAGTAAAACTTTTTAAACGCTTAGTAGCAAGTCTACCTTTACCCTGATGTGCAATTGGATCTTGAATATTATCGGCATTATATATGCAACCATCAACTAGTTTTACAATATTATTGTTATTCAATACTTGATCTTCAATAATTAATGATTGAGTATTAGCCTCCTGCTTTTTTTCCTTTCTTGAAATATAAAACAAAATAAGTTCATTTA